AAAGCTCTCAAATGCCAAGGTCTATTTTTCCCAATTCCACCAGTATTCGTTCACATTGGGCATGTTGAGTATTCATGGCAAGTTTGGTCCAAATCCATCATTGTGTGCATCCATAGTGCTCTCTGGATGTAGGTGAACTACAACTCCAAATTTCAAGGTCAATGCCCACCAAACCCTTCCAGTATTTTCTGTTGTTCAAGGTTCAATTCCATTGTTGATTGGTTCAATTCCATTGTTGGAGTTCATAAAGCTCTTTGATTGTAGGTGAACTATAAATCCCAGCAACTGCAACTCCCAAATGACAACATCAATCCCCTGCCAACCCCACCAGTATTCAAATTGGGGTATATCACGTATTTGTGCCAAATTTGGTCCAGTGAATGAAAATACATCCTGCATATCAGATATTTACATTATGATTAATAACAGTAGCAACATTACAGTTGTGAAGTAGCAACAAAAATAATATTGTGGTTGGGGGTCACCACAACGTGAGGAACTGTATTAAGGGGTCACAGCATTAGAAGGGTTGAGAACCACTGCCATAATCCATGATCACCAACTGCTGGAAAGTGGATGCCCGGAACATTTGGGGTGCCATGGGCGCCCTATATTACCATTATTTTTAGATTATGGCATTCTTTTGTTGGAAAAAGGGAAAGAGAGAAACCTTGGCAGATATTGCAGTGCACAATATGTTGAAATCCAAAGGAGAAATTTTTAAAGAAAATGGTCCCCTAGCAACAAGATCTCCGGTAAAACGAACAGAGAAATCTTTTCTTGTATGCAATATTAAAAAGTATGTCTGAGAGGCATTTTGGTGTTACGTTTCCCTTTTCTCTAGCCTCCCATATATGTTCGCCTCTTAACATTTCCGAGGCCTAATTTGTCAGATCACAGTTCTTACCTGTTAGAAAACTTTGCTTTAATATTTAATTTATGTCTCTGAAAGATTAAACGCCCGTGTTTAAAGTCAAGAGCATTTATCCTCTGAATGCCCATTCTTTGCCTGTAGGTAGAAACTTCGTTTAAGAAGGGTAAAATGCTGGCATTCATCTGCTTGGAAGAGAAGCTGCTCGGGAAGGAAAGGAAGGAAAAGTAGAGTGGGAACGGAAAATTAATTTGTTTTAGACCATTTAACCTGAAAGACAGAATAAGGTTCTGGTTGTATTTAGGAGCCCCTGGTGACGCAGTGGGTTAAATCGCTGAGCTGCTGAACTTGCTGACCAAAAGGTCGGCGGTTCAAATCCAGGGAGTGGGGTGAGCTCCTGCTGTTAGCCCCAGCTTCTACCAACCTAGCAGTTTGAAAACATGCAAATATGAGTAGATCAATAGGTACCGCTCCAGCAGGAAGTTATTTATTTATTTACTAGCTGTCCCCTAGTAAATAAATGTACATGTTGCTATGGCCCACTTTGGTGGTCATGGGGGTTCTGTGTGGGAGGTTTGGCCCAATTCTATCGTTGGTGGGGTTCAGAATGCTCTGTGATTCTAGGTGAACTAGAAATCCCAGGAACTGCAACTCCCAAATGTCAAAATTCTATTTTCCCCAAACTCCACCAGTGTTCACATTTGGGCATATTGAGTATTCGTGTAGAGTTTGGTCCAGATCCATCATTGTTTGTGTCCACAGTGTTCTCTGGATGTAGGCGAACTACAACTCCCAAACTCAACATCAATGCCCACCAAACCCTTTCAGTATTTTCTGTTGTTCATGGGAGTCTTGTGTGCCAAATTTGATTCAATTCCATCATTGGTTGAGTCCAGAATGCTCTTTGATTGTAGCTGAACTATAAATCCCAGCAATGACAACTCCCAAATGACAAAATCAAAAAATTTTGAGTGAAGGACATATATTGGGTTGTTAGGTGCTCTGTGTCCAAAATTTGGTGCCAATGCATCCAGTGGTTTTTGAGTTCTGTTAAACCCACACACAAACATTACATTTTTATTTATATAGATTTATTTAAAACATTTATATTCCGCCCTTCTCACCCCGAAGGGGACTCAGGGTGAAGCACAGCATATATACGGCAAACATTCAATGCCGGGACACAAATTCTTATATACATACATAAATATTAAAAACATTTATCAAAATATTAAAATACACCATTTAAAACTGTGAATTGTGCCAAGTAGTAAATTGGCAGCCAGTGGAGCTGGCGTAACATGGGATGCTCCCTGTATGCCGCCCCAGTTATTAACCTGGCTGCTCCAAGCAGTTATGCTGTCCACATGACCTTGGAGGTGTCTACAGACAACGCCAGCTCTTTGGCTGAGAAATGGAGATGAGCACTAACCCCCCCAGAGTCAGACACGAATAGATTTAGGTAAAGTTAAAGATTTTCCCCTGACATTAAGTCCAGTCGTGTTCGATATTCAGGGTCGTTGCTCATCTCCATTTCTAAGCTGAAGAGCTGACGTTTTAATGTCAGGGGAAAACCTTTACCTTTAACCTTTATATTTAGGAACTCTTATTTGTACTTATCCATAATATCCTGTGTTATGGTAAATTATGGTTATTAGGTGTCTAACAAGCCAGGATCTTCAATAGGTGGTGGCATTTGGATAAAGGATCCATTCTGGGTTTTAGTATGAACTTTACAAAAAGCTCTCCAAAGTGCAGAACCCTTCATCTAAGTCAGGGGTCCTCAAACTTTTTAAACATAGGGCCAGGTCACAGCCCCTCAAACTGTTGGAGGGCTGGATTATAATTTGGAAAAAAAAAGAATGAATTCCTATGCACACTGCACATATTTGTAGTGAAAAAAACACTTCAAAACAATACAATAATTAAAATGAAGAACAATTTTAACAAATATAAACTTATTAGTATTTCAATGGGAAGTGTGGGCCTGCTTTTGGCTGATGAGATAGAATTGTTGTTGTTGTTGTGTGCTTTCAAGCTGTTTCAGACTTAGGTTGACCCTGAGCGAGGGCCGGGTAAATGACCTTAGAGGGCCGTATCTAGCCCTCGGGCCATAGTTTGAGGACCCCTGATGTGTTGTCGCATGCTGGGCCTGAAATAATGTCTGTTTACAGGACATGCCTTCTGTATGCCTAACGGGACGCTGGGATGCCTCAGCTGAAGGGCCCCTTAGATTTCCCAACACAAAGTTCTATTGAGGCTCAAAATAAGTTCAACAAAGTCCTTTATTTGGGCTTAAATCTTCAAACAAATGAATTAAATGCTTTATAACTTTGGAAAACTGGTAGCTTCCTCAATCTGCTATCAAGGGCAGGCAACTGGTGGTAAACTGTTCTTTTCTTCCTTAGGGAAATCTTCTGACCCCTCCCTGGGCAATTTCTCTTTACCTTGCTGGAGTGAGACCCCTACTCCCGGCTCCAAGCTACTTTATGTATAGCCTAAGTAGTCCCTTACCAGACAATGGTTGCTGTAGATCTGCCAAGCTGAAAGGTGTCCTTTAGTTTTACTCCACAAAGGCTGTAGGAACTGTCCTGTTGCCCCAGCAAAGGCTGGCTGTATTCCCCTAGCAAAAGCTATGGGACTATCCCTTTACTCCCCCAACAGAGCTGTGAGAAGTGAAGCCTTTGTGCAGGTGGGATAGAGAAACCCACACGTTCTGCTATTAGGCTTCAAACAGTGAGACTGAACAAAGGTCTTCCTTTGCCTCCAAAACCCTGGGAAAATGGGTGGGTCTAAAGACTCTAACAATGATTGCCAGGTTGCTGGCCCTATGACTGCAACTTGGGAAAGCTACCTGATTGCAAAATGCCTGGCTAAATAAATTCATACAAACTAGCAGTGCAAGAAAAAGAAATTCAAATCTCCTGGCACTGCCATGCCAGCACACCTGATCTAAGTCATTAATAAAGATGTTAGACAGGACCGGGCCCAGGACGGAACCATGCTTGTGACACTCCAATCATCACGTATTTCCAGGTTGAAGAGGAAGCATTGGGGAGAATCACCCTCTGGATTCGTTTGCTTAGCCAATTACAGATCCACCTAACCGTAGTTTTGCCTAGCCCACATTTGACTAGTTTGTTTGCCAGAAGGTCATGGGAGATCTTGTTGAATGAAGACCTTCCTGAAATGCAGATATGTGCCATCTGCATCTATCCATCTTGTAACTCTATCAAAAAAGAGATCAGATGCGTCTGGCATGACTTGTGTTTGATAAATCCCTGTCGACTATTAGCGATGACCACATTCCTTTCTAAGTGTTTGCAGACTACTTCCTTAATGATCTTGCCTGGTATCGACATTGTATTGTATGCTCTATAAATGTTATTATGGGATATGGAGCCCCCGGTGGCGCAGTGGGTTAAACCCCCTGTGCCGGCAGGACTGAAGCCGACAGGTCGCAGGCTTGAATCCGGGGAGAGGCGGATGAGCTCCCTCTGTCAGCTCCAGCTCTTCATGCGGGGACATGAGAGAAGCCTCCCACAAGGATGATAAAAACATCAAATCATCCAGGCGTCCCCTGGGCAACATCCTTGCAGACGGCCAATTCTCTCACACCAAAAGCGACTTGCTCCTAACATGACAAAAAAATAATTATGGGATGTCTATTGGAAGTGTTTGGTTGCTGCATACAGAGTCAAGATAAATTCATCTCAGTGTGATCCATGAGCTTTTTGATTGAGTTGGGTGTTTGCTGATGGCAATTACCATTTGTTTGGCTTGAGTCTGAGAAAACGTTGTATATTTTAGCAGATGTGCTGCTAACTATGATTTGAAGTGTCCACAGTTTCTGCTCATTTTAATGGAGGGTGATTTTACAGCGACAGCATTTTGTTAGAATTCAGACCGAACTTTGGGCTGCCAAGCCGACAATCTTTCAGTAGATCCTCATGTGAAAGTTTTGTCTCCATATTTTTTCTTCTTCTTCTTCAAATCAAGTTTCAAGTTGAAACCGTGGAGTATTAACTTGCTTTATAATGAGGTGTCTGATGTATCGGGTGACTGAACACAGCTTTATTCTACCACTTCCTTCTGATATATTTCCCCCCTTTCTCTTTCTCGTTCCCAGTGGCTTTGCCTCCGGAGAAGACAGATGGAGTTTGCAGTGGTGATGAAAAGAAAATGGAAAAGGAGAACGACACACGCGGCGGTGCCAAGAAGCAGCTAAAATTTGAAGTAAGGGCACCATGGAGTTTTTTCCCCCTCTTAGGGAAGTACAGTCGTCCCTCTACATTTGCGGTTTTGACTTTTGTGGATTTGATCTCTCTAGGAATCTCTTGGTCCTGCAGTGTATATTTCCTCCGGTCATGCTGGAGGAACTAGAGACGTCTTGAGAGAATATCTCTCTAGGACTCTCTGGTTCCTGTAGTCAACTCTAGGGTCACCTTCCAGCAGAAAGTCATACTGGAAGATCTAGCGTTTCTCAACCTGGGGGTCGGGAGCCCTGGGGGGTCAGGAGGGGGTGTCAGAGGGGTCACCAAAGACTATCAGAAAACACAGTATTTTCTGTTGATCATGGGGGTTCTGTGTGGGAAGTTTGGTCCAATTCTATTGTTTTTTTTTTTTTTATTTAAGTTTTTATGAGTTTTCTCTTAGTACAGTGAAAGTGTGAGAACATTGAAATGATAGGAAAGGTGAGGAAAAAAAAGGAAGGAAAGGAGGGAAAGGGCAGTGTTGGGGAAGGAAGGGGGGGATACGGGGGAGGGGGTAGGGGAGGGGAGTGGTAGGGGAAGTGGCTATCGTTAGGCTCCCGTTCGGTCTGCAGGGAAATATCTTCATTGTCCATCTGCTCCATGCTTTTTCTGTTACAGTATGTCCTTTTGTAATCCTTATATATCTAGTTTTATCTGTTTCTTGAAATAGTCTTCCAGTTCTTTCCAGTTAGTTTGTTTGCTTCGGTCTTCTTTTTCTAAAATTTGAGAAAATTTATCTAGAGTCATGATTTCCATTATTTTTTTAAACCACTCTTCTTTATTCGGCGTTTCCTTGTCTTTCCATTTTTTTGCAATTAGAATTCTTGCTGCCGCGGATAGGTGGAGGAATACTCTATCTTGATTTTTCCCCAGGTTTATATTTGTTATATTCAGTAAGTAAATTTCGGGCTTCATTTCGAATTTGATGTGTAAAATATTTTGGGTATGCTTGTGTACCATCTGCCAGAATTTTTTAATTTCTTTACATGACCAGAACTGGTGATAGTAAGTTCCATTTTCTTTTTTGCATTTCCAGCAACTACCCTTGTTTCTCTTATTAAATTTTGCTAATTGCATTGGTGTTAGGTGCCATCTATAAAACACCTTGTACCAATTCTCGATTATATTGGTAGCCTTTATAAGTTTTAACTTGCTGTTCCAAACTCGCTCCCATTCATTGAGTAAAATGGTGTGACCAATGTCTCTAGCCCATTTAGTCATATTATCTTTGATCAGTTCTTTTTCGTTCTTCCATTCCAGTAGTTTCTGGTATAATATTTTTATAGATTTTTGATCCTTCTTCATAACACTATCCCAACTTGTATTAATTTCGTTAACACCGGATATTAGATCAGTTTTGGCGCGTTGTTTAATTTGCAGATAATGAAGCCAGCTCATTTCATTATCTTCCTTTTTTAGTTCCTCAAGGGGTCTCAATTGCCATTCACTATTGTTCTTTACAAGTAGCTGCTTATAAGTAAGCCACCTACTTCTGGGGATTTCCCTCTTATGGAATGCCTCTATTGGCGAGATCCAAGTTGGTATTTTATTTTGGTAAAAGTATTTCTTGTATTTGTTCCATGTTTTTAGTAGCGCAGATCTTATATAATGATTTGTAAAGTTCTTTTCTATAGTCGCCTTTTCATACCACAGGTATGCGTGCCATCCCCTTCTAATATCGTGCCCTTCAAGGGCTAGAATTTTTTTTTGATCTAATGTGGCCCATATTTTGGTCCATGTTAGGGCGGCCGCTTCGTGGTATACCTGCAAGTCTGGAAGTGCCAGACCTCCTCTTTGTCTCGCATCCGTAAGATTTTTGAGACTTATCCTGTGTTTCTTGCCATCCCAGATAAAGTTTAATATATCTCTATTCCATATTTTAAAAGTTTTATCTGTTTTGATTATTGGAATCATTTGAAATAGGAATATTAACTTTGGTAACAAACTCATTTTAATCGCTGCCACTTTCCCTAATAGGGACAAGTTTAGATGTTTCCAATTTCTTAATTTCTTCTTAATCTCGCCCCAGAGTTTTTCATAATTTTCTTTAAACAAATGCCTATTAGATGTAGAGATCACAATACCTAAGTATTTTATTTTCCTGACCACCTCAATCCCTGTGTCCTTGTAGATTTTATCTTTCCCCTCCTTATTTACGTTTTTTGTCAGCATTTTCGTTTTATTTTTATTTATTTTTAGACCCGCCAATCTACCAAAATTTTCTATTTTAGCTATCCATTTGGGGGTATTTTTGTCGGGATTATCTATTACACATAATAGATCATCGGCAAAGGCTAGGATTTTGTATTCCTCCGCCCTAATCTTCAAGCCAACAAGATCTTTGTCCTTCCTAAGATCTTCTAATAGAATTTCCAGGACTAATATAAATAGGTCCAATTCTATTGTTGATGGGGTTCAGAATGCTCTTTGATTGTAGGCGAACTATAAATCCCAGCAACTACAAGTTACAAATGTCAAGGTCTGTTTTCCCCAAACTACACCAGTGTTCACATTTGGGCATACTGAGTATTTGTTCCAAGTTTGCTCCAGATCCATCATTGTTTGAGTTCACAGTGCTCTCTGGATGCAGGTAAACTACAACTCCAACACTCAAGGTCAATGCCCACCAAATCCTTCCAGTATTTTCTCTTGGCCATGGGAGTTCTGTGTGCCAAGTTTGGTTTGATTCCATTGCTGGTGGAGTTCAAAATGCTCTTTTATTGTAGGTTAACTATAAATCCCAGCAACTACAACTCCCAAATGACAAAATCAACCTCCCCCAATGCCACCAAATTACAAACTTGGTCGTATCGGGTATTTGTGCCAATTTGGTCCAGTGAATGAAAATACATCCTGAATATCAGATATTTACATTTACATGATGATTCATGACAGTGGCAAAGTTACAGTTATGAAGTAGCAACATGAGCAACTGTATTAAGGGGTCGCGGCACTAGGATGGTTGAGAAACACTGATCTAGAAATTCCTTGAGAGGTAAAACAATAGGTGTTTATTTATTTGTGTTTGTTTTACTTTCGTGGTGGTTCGTTGCCCCAAGAATAGAATAGCTGTATTGTCATTGTACTATTTCACAACAAAAGTAAATGCACACATCACAAAACAATATACCCATCCCTTCACACTCCAACCACCACTGCACAGCTCCCAGTGCTACATCATTGCAAAACCATGGAGTTCAATATATATGCAGCAGGACTGTGGCGCAGATGGCTGGGAGTCAGCTGCATTAAGATCACTACTGACCACAAGGTCATGAATTCGAAGCCAGCCCAGGTCGGAGTGAGCTTCTGACCAATTTGTGTAGCTTGCTGTTGACTTTTGCAGCCAGTTGCATCTGTCAAGTAGGAAATTTAGGTACTGCTTATGCGGGGAGGCTAATTTATGAGTCCATAAAAATCTCCAGCAAACATGCAAAGAATGAGGAAGTACTTCATCAGTGTCACAAATGGATGGTGAAGCGACAGCTCCCCTGGTGGCCAGAATACCCTCATGAAAAAGCTGGAATGTTGTTTTTTTTTTTCCAAATAATTTTTATTGGTTTACGTAATAAGATAAAAAAAGATAAAGGGGGGAGGAGGTAGGAGGGAAAGAGGGAGAAAAGAAAAATGGGGGGAGAGAGAAGGAGGATGGTGGAGTGGGAGTTTACAATGAAAGCGTGGGAACAATTGATTTAGAGGAAAGTAGGAAAATGTTTATAAGGGTTTAAAGAGAGGGATCAGGAGAAGGGGGAGGGGGTTGGGTAATAAAAGTGTCGACTTCCAATCTTCTATCCTTCAGTAATTTTTTCTTAAATGGTCCTTTGCCGTTTACTCGTACTTAAGTCAGTCCAGGATTATTATTTTTTTTATAATTTTAAATATTCCTCAAATTTTGACCAGTTAGTTTGGCTCATAGGTCTGCCAGTGTTCCTTTTTAGCAAATAGCAAATAGGTTAATTTATCCATATTCTTTATTTCCAGTGTTTTATCCAATTACTGTATATACTGGCTGGGAGTCAGCTGCATTAAGATCACTACTGACCAAAAGGTCGTAAGTTCAAAGCCAGTCCGGGTTGAAGTGAGCTTCTGACCAATTTATGTAGCTTGCTGTTGACCTTTGCAGCCCCAAAGACAGTTGCATCTGTCAAGTAGGAATTTTAGGTACTGCTTATGCGGGGAGGCTAATTTATGACGCCATAAAAATCTCCAGCATGCATGCAAAGAATAAGGAAGTACTTCATCAGTGTCACAGATGGACGGTGAAGCAACAGCTCCCCTGGTGGCCAGAATACCCTCATGAAAAAGCTGGAATGTTAAATAGCCTCTGTGTGCCTGTCGATATATGTTGTGTGTCTATGGCATTGAATGTTTGCCATGTATATGTACATCGTAATCTGCCCTGAGTCCCCTGCGGGGTGAGAAGGGTGGAATATAAATACTGTAAATAAATAAATAAAATAAGCAAACCAAGTTTAACCAAACTTCGCGTATCCAACATTTCGTCTTGCCGAAGGAAGGATATGGAAGGACTTATTTGGAAAAGTCAATTTTTTTAATCGTACAACATGCATAAGGTTGTGGGTGAACTACAACTCACACCATGCCAGGTTAACCCCTTGAAACTCCATCAATACATACTTAAAGGTCTCTCCTGACCCCTTTGCTTTGCACTGGCTGGGGTACACAGCTCGTAGCCACACCTACCAGGACAACGATGTGGCGCAGAAGAAGGGGAATGAAGCAGGTGCTCCTGGGAAGGAGGACCCTCCTTTTCTTCTTGCCCCCCTCCCCAATTATTAACCCCCTCCCAAAAGATTGCAAACCCCTCCGCAAATTGATTTCTCCTTCACACAACAACAACAACAATCTTATCAACCAAAAGGAAATAGGCCATCAGACTTCCCATTGAAATGCTAATATGTTTATATTTGCTAAAATTGTTCTTCATTTTAATTATTGTATTGTTTTAAAGTGTTTTTTGCA